TTGCTTTTCTTAATTAGTGTAGTGTTGAAATGGTGTATAACTGACGCTTAGATGCGTAGTTAGGAAAAGAAATCATACGTCAAGGGGTTTACGTAATAGTGAACTAAGTTTTTGAAGAAAGTGAATTTATTTATAGAAAAAAGTGAACTTAAAATGTGAAACTTAACCTAACTTGGGTTAGGTAAAACTGTGTTTAATTTGATTTTCTTCAGTGAATATAAATTATATGATATAAAACGTAAATGGAACTCAACTCGGGAAAATAATCGATAATTTATCGTCCACAATGGTGATTTGTTGAGTATATCGGTGATAAAGTGACGAATATACATCATTTTCGTATTGCGCCCCAAATTATTCAAATTTCCCGCCTGTCCTGCCATCTGTGTTTACATGGTTAAAGGACTTTGATGTCACGTGATCCAATATTGGATTACCCTCACTTCAAAGTAAATGATCTTATATTTCAACACACGTATGTAACGATCTTCTCGTTTACTTGTTGCTTTTTAACAATTTTAGATATTTATCTGAACATATTTTATACCTTTAGACTTTGTATATTAAATGCAATTAATATTAGAAAGTGAGGTTATGTTTGTTCAGTAATAACTTACTTCTACATTATGCCAAGAAAAAAATGTAGAAAATGAAAAGTGAAACGATTCTTTTGTGGAGATATATTTGTGATATATTATTTCCGTGATAACTTTGCTGTAAATGGAAATGGACTGATAATGTACGACCTTTTTGGGTCGGAATGGCTTGTGAAATATAAAAGGTATTGTAGGGCAGTAGAAGTTAGATAGTACTGCAGCAATTTGTATTGAAGCTTGTACTATTCTTTATACCACCATTTTTTTCTATTTTCTAGTTCTTCTGGATTTTTCTGTTATATTCTACCAGATTTCATGTAGTACATTACACCAACTACGAATATTAGCCAAAATTTCCATAAGTAATTAATGTTACTTATTACTAGCTAATAAAAGTTAACAAAAATTGATTTAACACGGTCACTGCCACCGACGCAGCATACGCGTTCCAAAATGTATTCCTCAGCGTGCTATTAATTTTCTCACGGCAGCGAACGTATTAATATTAAAATTAAAACCAAAAATTTACCCAAAATTCTTGCACTCCAAAAACCATCTCGTATCAGAATATATACAGGGTGATTCGCCTAACTCGACGACCTAAAATTGCTCGTAAACTATTCGCCGTAGAGAAGAGCGTATGTAGCAAAAGTTGCATGATTTCAAAGGGCACAATAATTACAATAATTATTTTAAACAAAACACTCTATACTTCTTCCCATAAAGCCATAATATGCCTAAAATAGGTATTTATCGAGACACATATCTACTCTAAAAATTCTATTCCATCGAAATCAAATTAACTTCCCCCCGTTTTTCCGTAAATTCGACTTCACCGGAGCACTCCGTTCACGGCGCAATTCCACGTCGTCAAAGTTAGGCGAACATGCCTAACAAGTGCGTGCAAAGTGTCTCTCGCCAAGTTCACACGCGGGGGGTGCCAGCCGAGAGTCGTCGTTACTCCGCGGGACCGCGGAATCCGATTACCACCGAGCTTAGCCGGCTCATGCGTGGAAAAACTAATTTCACGGTTCGTTAGGTATGCGCAAAAATTGCACGGCACAACAGAGAGGACCGGCCGCGTCCGTCGCTAAGCAATAATTCACTCCTTACGCGTGTGACGGTCCAAAAGGAGGCAAGAAAAAAAGAAAAAGAAAACACAGCTAACGAGCCATGTGGTTCCAGTTGAACGCGAGAAAGCTCGACGACACTGTGCGACCACAATAAGTCTCGCCGAGACCACAGTCGGCTCTGACCAAACACGAGTCTCAGAATCCCGACGAGAATCGAGAAGAATGTTCGAAGAGAGAGAGAGAACGCCGAAGACCGACATCTTTCAACCTCCGTGGACCTCGATGCTCCACGCTTGAAGCACGGCGAAATTCAAAGCGTCTATGCAATGGAAGCTGGCTTCTGCACAGGAAGGAAACACAACGGCCGGAACCCGCCTACAAAGACCATCGCCGCTAATTAGTAAGATTACTGCGGCCTCGTGCTCCCTCTTCCTCGTCTCCTCGCGGCTTCTTTTTAAATTCCAGATGCGCCGCCTACGAAAATTGCGAAACATCTGGCCGGTGGGTACAAGGACGAATTGTGCGGCACGGTATCAGGAAGCCGGAGAAACGACGTTCGCGGCAAATAGAATGGAAAAGAGAGCGTGATCGCAGGAACAACCAGACGCAGGTCGTCGTTTAGTTTCGACGCGGAGCGTATTTTCCTCGTGGAACCTTTCAGCGACGTTCTGGAAAGAGACGGGCGACGATCTTTGAAAATTTCGCCCGCCTGTGCGCCAACCGGGCGGAGAAAGACGGAGAGGATTTATCGGGGTAAAGAGATCTGAAGGAGAAATTTTGAGTCTGAGAATAGGGGTTAGGCGAGCCTAACCGATGATCTCGTGCAAACGAACGAGACTGATAAGAGAGGGAAGTTAGAGACACTTCCAAACAATCGTTACTCGGTTTATGGTTTCGTTTTGATGAATTTATTGGTTGTGGGTGGTGAGAGAGGTTTGGGACACGGTTTTGGGATGGTTCGGTATGTTGGCCCCTTAACGTATGATTTCTTCTCTTACTGTGCAGCTAACTGTCCGCCATTTAATGTTGGAACGAAATTTAATAAAAGCTAGTCTGTTACGGATTAATTACTAGACTGCGGATTTTTAGGTGTTTTTAGAAAATTTGAAGGTGAAAATTGCACAGAATTATATCCAAAATATTCAAATTATAGTGCTTTTTATATTTTTACGTGGTGCGTGAAATAATTTCCTATCCAAGTTTTACTTTTTTTACATTATTCTCAAAGTTATGAATTTGCTTTAAAATCGGCAGTCTATTAATTACATTTAATAATCCTCAGTCTTAGGAATTAAAACGAGAGTTAGGATCACAGAATTTCTGCCACAAGTCTGACAGGTTGCTATAAGTTAAGGGGTTAAGTAGTAGAAACTATCATTGTTGAAATTAAGTGAGCAAATTAATTTTTACATAACTTCTATTTTTCCAATTCGATTATTCCATCGTTTTGGTCCTTCTTCACGATTGACACGTTCGTTATTAAACATTTAACCGTGGATTTGATATTTTCCAGAAAATTCGTTCCGCAAATCTTTCGCGTGTATTTAAAATACGTAGTAGTACAACGCGATATAAAATTCTTCGTAAACTAGAATGGAAAATGCGGCACCCAATTGGGTTCAAACTTTTCCCCAATAAAAGAGTCAACTCTAACAATGATGTGACTGTTTCAACAACGGCTACAGACGTTCCAGGAATTTTTATTCTGTTTATACACAAAACATATCAGAAATTTTTTATTCTTTTTTTATTATTTGGTGTGCTCGGACCAAAGCCACGGTATAATTTTTCGTTTCAGTTACAAAAGCTGCTGCCGTTACTTTTCACCGTGAAAATAGCGTTTTCAGCTATAAATTACCGGCGCTGGTATATTTTGTATATAAACACGATAGAAACGCGTCGAGAGAGAGAGGGAGAGAGAGAGAGAGAAGGATCCATTGAACCGTGTTTTAGTGAAGTGCGCGCGCAACGCGAACGTATTTCAAAATCGATTTTCTCAAAAGCCGTTGCTCGTATGCAAAAGTTGCGTTTCACATTTTCGATTCAATTTGAAAAAAAAAAACCACCAACCGACACATTTCAAATTATATGCACACTACACGATTTTAAAGCATTCGCGTATATTTTACACTTTCATAATTGGTTACGGCTCCCAAACAGTTTTCTTTACCATTAGAAACACAGTTTCTCCTCTGTTTGTACAAATCGCCATTTAATATCCGCGTTTCTATAAAACAAACGAGAAACGAGCGTGTTCGTAAAATGAATTTCAAATGTAAGGTATAAAAACGGGGGTTGTAGAGAAACGTTTAATTAGTGACTGCAATTTGTTAAGCTGTTTATGAAAAATTCGCGGTTGGCAAAATAACTTTTCTACGGTGATAATAGAAAATTTCCAATTGTTCGACATAAATTCGAAATTGACGAAAAAATAGTTTTATTTGATTGTTGTTTGTTATTTAACTCTGATTGTTATTCGACCTGTTTCCAATTTTAACCCAACGCTTTTGCCCAAAAACTTGTTCCAAGATTCGAAAATTCAATTTTATCGTGAAAGCGAATATTCGACGAACCCGAGAAACATAACCCTTTTGTTGCTGTTGGCCCTTTGACATTCCCTAGCATTGTACTGTTCGCTGGCAAATTTGCCTTAAATTAATTTCTAATTTTAACGTGAGAATTATGATAAATTGTCAGTTTTGTCCGGGAACTTGTCCGAAATTCGAAAATTCAACTTCGTCTTAAGAGCGAATATTCGGCGAAACTTAACCCTTTCGTTGCTGTTGGCCCTTTAAACATCCCCTAGCACTGTACCGTTCGCTGGCAAATTTTCCTAGCCCTCCCTTAACTTTGCCTTAATTTAATTTCTAATTTTATCTTTCGTCCACTTTCACCTTAATTTAGTAAAAGAAATTTTGAAACGATACAGCTGAAATAAAAATTGGTCGAACATCTACCATTTTCAACGCGTGTTGCGTCCCAAAATTGGCCGCAGCGAAAGGGTTAGATTACCGATAGCATGGTACACTTGTGTAAGTCTCTGGTGTAAGGTACAGACTGTGTAAGTACTTCGTATTTATTAATGGCGGTCTTCCTGTTGGTATAACGCGTGAATGCAGCCGTGCACCGACGCAGACCATTTCGAGTGGATGCGAACACAACGTTCCCTTGCTCTCTCACTTTCGCTGTAGTTCTCGTTTTATCCGAACACTTCGAACTAACAAAGTTCGTGTTCGCCGCAAGGAGTAAGCAAAAATACAACATTCGGTGTATGTAGGTGTTTTGTGTGTGTCGAGTCGAAACGGCACACGACAGAGTGCAGGTGACTAGCATGTCTCTGCTTTGGAAGTTGGCGCGTATGAAAGACGAGGAACGGAGGAAGAAACGGGACGAACTCGTATCGCCTTCTCGTAATTGCATTGCCACGGTGTGTTCGTAACGAAGGAGGAGCTTCAGTTTACCGAAATTTGGAACTGCGAAGGAATTTTGTGACAAAATTGTGACCTGAAGTGACGAAAAAATATTCTACGTATCCATTTTAAAGTTTTAGAGTAAATAGTTTGCACTTCGTGTGTTTGTCTTACTCTTTATCATTATATGTATCTAGGCTCCTATTTTTTAAAGTAAAATAATTTTTGGAAATCGTTTTACCACTGCATTTTTGAAAGAAAGAGTTGAGAAAAGAGAAAAGTAACGATTTACAACGTTAAAATACGAGTCAGACTTGTGTCACAGATTTTGGTCAATATCTGATAAAAACTTTTATATCGGTAACAAAAATTAATATTAATTCCAATTTTCGGTTCAATTCATAGAACTGAAGATTGCTGAATTTAATTAATCTATAGTACCTTAGCTTTTCTTACATAATATAGCACTAAAACTAAAAAAATTGACGCTGGGATGCATAGTGAGGAAAAGAAATCATACGTCAAGGGGTTGATAATTATTTCCTTCTGACACATTAATAAGAGTATTATTAGCCTGGGTCAAAATTGACCCGGCCACCGTCAGCACACGTGACGATTGCACGCTCGATCTGTCCAAAGGTATACAACAATTCATCGCAATGAAATTATTCCTCCCAACAAGTACTTACGCTTTCTTTCATAGCAATTTATCGTAATACCCGCAATACTCCTGACAACAGAGTTCTAACCAAGATGTTTTTAGCGTTCTAAAAGGCGCAACCGTTTTCAGCGTTCTAGATGGCGCGACCGATGTTTTCAGCGATCAAGAAGGCGCGACCGATGTTTTCAGCGTTTTAAAAGACGCGACCGATGTTTTCAGCGTTTTAGATGACGCGACCGATGTTTTCAGCGTTTTAGATGGCGCGACCGATGTTTTCAGCGTTCTAGATGGCGCGACCGATATTTTCAGCGTTCTAGAAAACGCGACCAATGTTTTCAGCGTTCTAGAAGACGCGGCCGATGTTTTCAGCGATCGAGAAGGTGCGACCGATGTTTTCAGCGTTTTAGAAGACGCGACCGATGTTTTCAGCGTTCTAGATGACGCGACCGATGTTTTCAGCGATCGAGAAGGTGCGACCGATGTTTTCAGCGTTTTAGAAGACGCGACCGATGTTTTCAGCGATCGAGAAGGTGCGACCGATGTTTTCAGCGTTTTAGAAGACGCGACCGATGTTTTCAGCGTTCTAGATGACGCAGCCGATGTTTTCAGCGATCGAGAAGGTGCGACCGATGTTTTCAGCGTTTTAGAAGACGCGACCGATGTTTTCAGCGTTCTAGATGACGCGACCGATGTTTTCAGCGTTCTAGATGGCGCGACCGATGTTTTCAGCGTTCTAGAAGACGCGACCGATGTTTTCAGCGTTCTAGATGGCGCTCCCTTCGTCCTGACGCAGCCGATGTTTTCAGCGATCGAGAAGGTGCGACCGATGTTTTCAGCGTTTTAGAAGACGCGACCGATGTTTTCAGCGTTCTAGATGACGCAGCCGATGTTTTCAGCGATCGAGAAGGTGCGACCGATGTTTTCAGCGTTTTAGAAGACGCGACCGATGTTTTCAGCGATCGAGAAGGTGCGACCGATGTTTTCAGCGTTTTAGAAGACGCGACCGATGTTTTCAGCGATCGAGAAGGTGCGACCGATGTTTTCAGCGTTTTAGAAGACGCGACCGATGTTTTCAGCGTTCTAGATGACGCGACCGACGTTTTCAGCGTTCTAGATGGCGCTCCCTTCGGCTACACGCTAAATCTGTGCATGGTATTTGACGATTCACAAATTCCCCCGTGTGAACGACTGTATCCCACAAAGTACTTATTTCCACGTGACGGTATTACGTTTAAGCGGTGAAATTTCACCTCTCCCCACTCCATCCCCACCACCGGGCCCAGTTGTGCGCGCTCGCGTGCATGTAGCACTCTACTAGCTGGTTACGCGCGTGCCTACGGCAACACCGTAATGAAATATGCTTTCCCGATATTCCAATATTGCCGAGGAACAATTTATCTCCTTACGAGTGGCCTCGAAACGCCGCGCCGGCTCGTAATACGATAATGAAAAAAATCGTACGCAAAGCTTCGAATAACTGCTGAATATTGTTTTCCGTCTGAACGGCTTCTGTGAAGCTTAGCGGCTTGTAATTGAAAGTCCAAGGCTGATTTATCGGTACATCCGGAACACCGATGTAAATAACGATTACCCCCCACCATCGTCGCTCTACTCTCTCTGGTTGAATTTAAGAAACAATTTCTGTTCGAAACAACGCGGTCGTTACTGGCTCGCGTTTCTTTCCTCCGGTTGACAGTTACACATTGGCCAGAGCGTATTTGTCTTTTTTTCAAATGCTTACCCCGAACAGATTTAGCTCTGACGATTAAAAATTGAACGTTGAAAATTTTTATTTATAAAAAATTAAAAAATTGTTCAACCCTTTGCGAACTACAACACATAATTAGGTTATTACTCCAGTTTTTTTGTAAACTAAATTACGTGAAAATTATATTTTCCTTAAATATACATACACAAGTTCATGGTCACGCTAACTATTTTTATTGCTTAAAAATATGGAAGATTATTGGTTGCGTTCATAGTGTTTTCTGAAGGTATATGTGAGTTTGTCGTCCTCAGAGGGTTAACACGTCCACTGCGGCAGCTTTTTTTCACGATTTTCCTATTTACTCGACTTTCGTAATTTTCATTTTCCCCGTACTGGACTTTCTTATTGGCTGGTACGAGACGAATTTCTCTTATATTTCGTTCATAGTGTTTTGTGAAGATATATGTGAGTCTGTCGTCCTCAGAGGGTTAACACGTTCACTGCGGCAGATTTTTTGCAGGATTCTCCTATTTACTCGACTTTCCTGATTTTCATTTTCCCCGTACTGGAACTTCCTCTTATATTTTGTTATTTTACTCTACAAAGTAGAAAACAGTGGAAGAATAACGAAAACATAAGCTTGCAGTTAGCAGACAGCGAAGGTTCGACGTAAAACTAGCCACAAGGAACAAAGCTACGATTAAGAAGAAATCTATCAGTCTTCACGAAGGAAGATACATTTTACTAGAATTTTCTGCGACATCGAATTTCATTCAGTCGCGTTTGACTATGGTTTTACTTATATATAACTAACAGATTAAATTCCATTTCAGTTATAAATTATCCGCATTAATTATTTGACACGCCTTTCGGCGACAGCGTCACAATTACGATCCTAGTTGAATCAATAACGTCCATTGATAAAGAGACATCAATTATTCCACTCCTGTCAACAGATTACAATAGAGTAATATTATTCGGACGGGCGCAACACGTAATCGTATTATCCAAGTACAAATTGCCGCTCTACACTTCAACGGATACTTCAATCTTCCATGAAAAATGAACGAAATACGATAGAAAAATGAACGAGTGGGGAAGACACCGAGAGAAATAAATCCGAAATCGTAATTCCGCTCTTTCGCGAAAGTTCAACAACCGCGAACGTTCGCGTGAAGTATTCCAAATTCCACCGTGAAAATTTCATCTCCGAGAGAACTTCAAATTCCCCGACACTTTTCAGCCAAGTCACTTCTTAAAATTCCGCCATATTTCTCTCTCCCGCGTAAACGTGACTCTCCCTCTTTCCACGAAACAAAAAGAAAATTTCACGCTCAAGATTTCACCGTAACCCCGCTGGAGTTCCGCGAGAAAGAAGAAAAAAGAAAATCATTCCTGGTACAATCAAATAAACACACGTCGATCGAATGATAAAGAAGAAAAAAAATAGAAGAGGAACTCCTGAACGAGAAAGAAGTGTTCCTCCATATATATCCAACGAAGTTCATTCAAAAGCTCTCCAGAGCGATTTCCCCGATGAGGAAGATCCACTTCATCCCCGACGTGGAGGATTTTTCGAGTGTGACCCGTACCAGATAGAGACGGAGAGGTGGTGGGAGAGACGAGGAGGACCAATGGAAGTGGTTGGTTCCATTAGAAAGGAAAACTCCCAGAAAATGTTTCGATTTCAGATAGAGGCTCTCCCGGAGATACTGGATATCGGTATCGTTTCAGTTCCACGATCGAAGCGAGGAGCGACGAGGGAGAAGGGCTGTAGTCGGTCGAAACGTGTTCTGCTCTGGCCGGGCCAAGGACGCGAGGAGGAGAACGCGTTGGACAGAGAGAGGGTTAGAGAGGCGGCACGGAGGTGTAGGAAGAGACGAAGGTATCCGAGGCAGAACAGACGAGCGCACTCAACAAGGGATACCGAGCCGTCTCCGATCTGACACGCTAGGATTACCGTCGAAAGAGGAAAAACGCGTACACCCTTCCACGCGCGCGGCAACGAATGGCAAAAATAGAGTCCTCCTCGCCTCTTTGCGCCCGGCCGGCCGTCAGCCCGTCGGAGAACAAAAGGAGAAAAACGGTGTAGCCGTTGTATTGTACTGCTCGGGTTGGCGTGAGTGTGGGGAAAGTGTGGAGGATTTTCCTTTTGGATAATTCGAGGCTTCGGAAGGAGATTGACATTGAATTACGACGTTCGTTGTGTTGGTTTGAACGTGACTTTTGGTACGTAGATAATGTAGTTTGGAGGGAAGTATGGTGGAAATATTCGTAGAGTTATATAGGTATTTATTGCAGGGAAATACTTTAGTAGTTAAATTGGTATAAAGCAGGTATGGGCAACACACGGCCCGCGGGGCTAGATATTGCCCGCGGGGCTGGATATTGCCCGCAGGGCAGAATACGGCCCGCGATCCGTCTTTACAAGAAGTCTTTAGATTCTAAATACTATCGTGTTTCACTTTATTGTTGTATTTAATATACTAGCCTCTTGTGCATACGCACATTCGTACATAAACATGCCAAATTCTACATACTTAGTTACATCTACATGCTTAGGCCTTCGACTCGAAGAGAGAATGACAATTTTGCTCCAAGAACCAGGAAAGATTGCCTATGCCTGGACAATACTTTTGATACAATATTAAAGGGACGTAAATTAGATAACAGTAGAAGTTCTTAAAAAAATAAGAAGGCCGTGGGTCAAAAAGGACCCGAAGACTAGGGCACTAGGGTTAAGGGTCGTCGAACACTATTCTGCTTTCGCACGATTTATGGCAGGTACTTAAATCGCATATATAAACGTGTCAAAGTTGAATCAAACACGTTGTAGCGGAGCATACGGTAAAACAGTGTGTAAAGATTGAGGAGCGTGATTCCTTCTGGTGCAATCTATTGGTTGGGTAACAGGTCACGGGCGCCGAAAACGAGGCCCGATCGTCATTTGTTTCCTCCGATGGGCAGATTGTCTTGCTCGCGTGATTCCTTCTGGTGCAATCTATTGGTTGGGTAACAGGTCACGGGCGCCGAAAACGAGGCCTGATCGTCATTTGTTTCCTCCGATGGGCAGATTGTCTTGCTCGGCGTCGAGGGAGAGAAAGACAGATAGCGCTCGCGTTGTATAAATTGTGAAAAATAAAGTGCTTCACCCAGATTGTAACCCTTGCGTTATAACATAATCACATTGGGGATATCGATACACTGATACATAAAATCCTAAGGATACACACGGCGATACAATAATTTGGCTCTAGAACCAAGAAATCTTGCCTAATGTAAACTGTTAAATACTATCGACCCTTTTTCCATGGAGAGTATACTATGTATAGATGGGTGTTTAAAAAGTACTGTATAACACTAACGCCAATTTACTTCATGCAAAAAAAGAAATTCTCAATTTCACTCCAGATTCATTCCACTTAGACAATTCCCCGCAGAAAATCACGCTACATCGTGTTGTGCGGCAAGTTCATCGACACCTCGAATAATCATAGTACAGAACAATCCTTGGGGGGCCAATTCGCGGAAGTTGGCGAAACTTGGGGCCGTCGCGGTGGAAGAAGCATGCTCGAAATTGAATTATCGACGGCCATATTTCAAACTAACGCGGCCACGCGTTTCCCGGGGATATATGCCACGGGCGAGACGCTCGAATGCGCGAAATACGGTTGTGTGTGCTCGGGCTGGGGCTCGATTAATGCCCGAGATTAATTAACCATGATTTATAAAAGTTCCCGCGGAGCTATACGTGCCTCCACGGCTGTTTTCCATGGAAAAACGCACGTCGAGCGGAGCCGGGGCTCGTTTTCCGCACACGGGAAATTAACCTATTAAATCGTTTGCGAAACGAGTTTCGTCGGATCCGATTGAATTCGGGTTTTCGCCGCGGTTTAATTACCCGCCCATTATCTTCTCTTTATTATCCGGATTAATCGTCCGTCTGTGAATTATACGTGACACGTGCAACGAGAACACGCTGTTTGAAAACGTCTCCCTCCCTTCCTTCTTGCTTTCAAGAACACACTTCCTACGCAATGATAAAAACCAGAGAATTAACGGAGTCAATGAGCGCTTTGGCGTCACCTGTCTCTCCCACTATTTTCCCCCCTCGTCTCCTCTTTTATTCCAATAGCCGTCTGCTGCTTTTGATCAAAGTTTTATACCGAGGAGAAAAAAAGTTTCAATTAAACTACCACTGGTATCTCTCGTGAAAGCGTGCACGCACAAACACTTAAGGTATAAGTGTGTAGTGGTGTAGAAAGTGTCATAAGTTATTCTCTTTGAGACCGTTCGCAAGTTAGAAAAATACACGACGGTTCGTTCACGAGTAATGGTTTTCTGCCGTGTGGCGGCGCTAGTTGTAAGGACAGAAACTAGTTCTAACCTACGTTGGGTAGTCTAGGCTGCTTTTAATTACTTCATTTATCATTGCTACATTTAT